CCCTGACAATTGCGAAACTTCTCGGTGTTTGAGAGCAAAAACTAGCCCGATAGATTATCCCTCATAATGGAATGGTTCTTCATTTTATCACTCTCTTTATTTCGTGGAAATGTTACGTTATTAGTGCAACGATCTTATAAAGATAAACTTACGAATCGATACAATAGAACTTCCTATAATGAATTTGAATGCAATTTCCATTTCATTCAATATGCATGTGTCTATCTGTTATATCTAACAGCTTAGAGGAATCATTGTATGTCGACACGTTTGCTCTACCAGTCATTAAAAAAGATTTCGCTTTCGGTTAATTACATAAAACTAATCTATCCGAGTAATTGCACAGTTTGATTTATTAAGAAGACAAAAACGTCACGAGGAAAAATATCAGTATTATTCCGATGGTAATTTTCCCGAACTCGCTCCTGGCTTTTCTAAGTTTTGTACTTCCTATCTTCTTAGCATTAAAGGCTTTAAGCTGTTGAAATGTGTGTTGGTCTTTTTTTCTGCTAGAAGATCCCGAAACATCCCGAATGAGACTCTTAAGACTATTGACATTTTTTCCCTACTAGAAAAGCAATACCTACAAGATAAAGGCATTGTCTTGAAGATATTACTTATGTTCGGTCATATTGTTAGACATATAAAACAACCGTTGATGGGTTAAGCGATAACACATGTGTTGGCGTTACCACCGCAATAAGATTATCACCATCCGTACAATAAAAACAGGAATTTTATTGGTTGTTAAGTTGGATTTGGCTGTACTTTTGTAAATCTCTTTTTTTACGTTTGACCTATAATCCATTATATCAAACAGGCTTAAAAAATAAGTGAATAAATCTCAGGTAGTACAATTGTAATGGCCGTTACGTTGATACAGTTTTTACATAGATGGCACTCATATATTGTAAAGTATGTGAAGATTCATTAACACATCAACCAAATTAATATATTTCTAGATAATGATGTCACCCAAACTTCATTAAAAATAAAAAAAAACAACAGATTGTCTTAGAGCATGTGAAGTGCAATGTAACACCGCACTTTGGGGTCAAACGCACTATGGGGTCCGACCTCAAAGTGCGTTTGACCCCAAAGTGCGGTGTTACAGTGCATTTTTTTACAAACCAGGTGAACTAAAAAAAATTAAGTTTGAAATATCCTTACAACAACAACAACAATAATAATAATAATAATAATAATAATAATAATTCTCCATCTATTAATAATAAGCCAACTGCACTTCTTTTGTTTTGGTAATAAAGTTAAGTATTATGTTAACATTCCATACATTAATATTTCCTATAAAATGGTGAGTACCTGCAATAACTTTTCAGAATTTATTTGTTTATCCAGCCGTGTTTTTGTGCAAATAAATTCCTTGATATTGTTATGAATTTTTTGTCTAAACACTTCTATTTTAACTGACAATAAATACATATATCAGAAACTAATTTGTCTGAACACTGGTTTTTGATTGGCAGTTTTACTTCGTTTAATTGTGCAGCTGGCAAATTTTGCTTGAAATATGAATTTTATATGACATAAAGTAAAAATGATCTTTCCTACGCAAGTTTTGACAAATGTTTTATATATGTAAGATTTAATGAATAATTAAGACAAAAGGGAAAAGCAAAATATCTAATCAAAGTTCAGATATTTTGACAGAAATCTAGAGGATGATAACGTATAAAGAAATAACTAAAACTAAATTGGATTTTATAACGCATTTCAGTGTCTTGTATAAAGCATATTTGGATAAATGTGAAACATGTAAGAAAAGGAATTTTATTATATAATTATATTCTATTCAAATAGAAAGCTAATTACGTTAATATATACTATTTATAAAGGCGGGTCGTTAGGATTTTACACCACGTGATCAATGTATTGGTAAATCATGTAACAGAAATAAAACGGAAAATGAATACCACCTTTTATTCGGATATCCGAATGTTTACGGTAACGAAATCGTTTCGTTAAAATACCATTATCATTGGTCATCGTAATTATAGCAGAATAAATTCAAAATCCAACATATACTTGCTTGTATAGCTGAATTATTTATTTCCTAAAATGCTTTATTCCAATCTAATTCATTTCTGTAATTCTGTAATTGTGTATAATCATTGTAAATCACTTACATGTTTAACAAACATGTTGTTCATGCTTATGTAAGTTTATTTTACCTATATATATTTGTAAGAATTGTAAATGTTTTGAAGAATTTGAATCATTTCATTTAGTTGATAGACGGTCGATGCAGAGTAATTGATACAGGCAAAGATTTTAATCACATATTAATTGCTGGTGTACAAACATCTTACTAAATCCATCCATTTAATTAATTGATTTAAAAGTAAATTATAATCACCCTACACTTCCTCGTTTAGATCTTAATTTTCCCCTAATCTATTAAACATAATTATGATTAATTGTATTTTGTATTAGATTATGCTTTGTAAATTATAAGATGTTTGGAAGCTTTAGCTAGCAGATGATATTAATGTGGGAGATGCATCTATAAATTGAATCTCTCGTAGTGATGTAAATGTGGTATACATTTGCCTGACGTCAGGTCGTTAATCATGCGGACAACATGATAAGACTTGGCGTTGAAGAAGTACACTCTTAGCAGTTTAATAAGACCTATTCAAACAGGGTATGTTTCATTTTGTAAAACGATTGCAGTGTCTAGACCTTTATTCGGTGTAGTCAATTATTTTGAGAATAGATAACCGATTAAAAGTCAGGAAAAGCTAGATAATATTCACTCTTCTTTTGTGATATGCTAGACATGTAAATCCAATTACATATTGATCCGATCTTCAAAAAAAAATGTTTATATTGCTTTTACGAAACACGATTTGTATTTATAGATTAAAAAAAGAAATACTTAAGGGAGTTATCCTCTAAAACGGAAAAAAACATATTACACTCTTCTTTACAAGTTATTTTACGATTATCGCTAAAGGGTTAAAAGCTATTCTTTATTAAAAATAATCCACAATTATAATGTTGCGTTTCCATAATTAATATACTTTTGAGCGATATAGGAGAAAGAAAATGATAATACAGTGAAAAACAAAAATTAAATATTTTGAAATATATGGTTTAGGTATCATTTGAGAACGCGCATACCAGTTAAATGAAATATAATTATTAGCTTTTTTTAAAAACATATATAGATCGCCCGGTATGAATTCAATTTGAATTGTATTAAGATATACAGCAAATATTATATCATTATATTTCATGCATCCAGAATTCAGCTCTGTATTCTAAAACGTCTTATTATTGAGTCAAAAACTTTATGCTGGCAATCGCACTTTATTTGTTAAAGGAACTCAACTGAGATCCAAAAGCCTAAATCATAAAATTTGTATTTCTGACATATATCAGCATAAGCACAAAAAAAAAGAAATATTTGCAAAATACATTAAGAATTATACGCATACCATTCTATGCGCTAACATTAATTGTTATTGCTTAATCTTTATTGTCCTATTTTGCTATGCAATTAAAACCTCAACAACAGCTCAGTCCTTTATAACATCATATTACTAAAAAGATATAGATAATTTTCATTAAACTAAAGCATTTTATACTTCGTTATTCATATACATCATTCGATCCAGAATAAAATTATGCAAATGACACAGGTATTCCCTATACAATTCTGAATAGAAATTAAGAAATGCCAAACGTTTATAGCTTTGTGTATGTAATTTAATATTAACTATAAAATACAGGATTTGGGTTATGGCAGTTTCATTTGGCAGCTTTAACATGACATTATGTCAACTTTTATAGACATATTTCGTGCAACTACGAGTATGCTAACAAAATAACGACATTTGAGCCGCGTCACGACAAAACCAACATAGTGGGTTTGCGACCAGCATGGATCCAGACCAGACTGCGCATCCGCGCAGACTGATCAGGATCCATGCTGTTCGCTATCAGTTTCTCTACTTGTTATACCGTTTGTAAGCGAACAGCATGGCTCCTGATCAGACTGTGCGGATGCGCAGGCTGGTCCGGATCCATGCTGGTCGCAAACGCACTTTGTTGGTTTTGTCGTGACGTGGCTCATTTTGACAACGACATCTCAGTAATATGTGATGTAGATGTGCTAGTCAAGACAAGAAGTTAATTAGATATTATTATTTCCAAAAGTGAAAGAGAAAACAGTTTGAATAGCTTATATATGCCTGATGAATATATATCTTATTGTATCATCTTTAAATTGATTGTTACCCGATAATTAACAGTTCATGTAAACCAATGCTAAACATTTGCACAATCATGCAAAAACATTTAACGAAAATAAAACTCAAAATATAAATGACAGCTGCTTCAATGTACCTTTTCTTGAAGACGGTTTAAGAGAAAATGTATAAAATGTATGTTTCAATCGTTTTCCTAATTATCTGATATAAATAGAACTCGTCGAACTTACACAAACTTGATAGCTAGCTGATTAATCGCCTGAAATCTATGCAATATGTTTGAAAATCTCTTAAAAGTATATTGTTTGTGGTTATGGCAAAATTCAATATAAAGTTAGCATTGAAATACTGGTAAACCTTTTCTTAAAGATCCTGTAACACATTTTTTCATGGTTTTAGTACACATTTTACATATTCTTCGATGTTTGAAAATTATTTTATTTGCATAATTATATACATATATAACTTTTTGCAAGTGTGGTATACACACAGTAACAATATCAACCACAAAACATACAGGATCTTTAAAGATGTCTCTCACTATTGAATGACACATGTTAAAGATTAGAAAACAGGAGGTTGGTTGTAAATCAAATAACTTACGTCACTGAATAAATTACCACCAAAAAACTTGGACAAAACGTCTTAAATTCAGAATACGTGGATTCTCTACTAAAGATGTTGTTTTTCCTAAAATAGTCTCCATAGAAAATATTAAAACATGTTGTTCTAGGTTTAATGGTACAATACGGTTTATAGTCTTACCTTTAAATGGAACAAACAAGTTCAGCCATAGGCATGCCTCTATCTGTTTAGCAGTAAACTTTCCAATTTTTACAAGCCTTTCGAGAATTATTTCAGGTATTCCATTCCATGACTTTCTAACTTCGTCAATAAGTTTTTGAGGACAAACAGGTTTAAACTCAGTTGCAAATCTTTCTTTATTATCTTTCTTAAGTTTTGGCCTGACAAGGTCTCTGTTCGGAAGGAATCGTATTGCCTTTTTATCTGAAAGATTAAGCTCGGCATATTTCAGTCCGCGGTATTCATCTACATCCCGTAGATGACACGAACGTTTAAACTTTACCTTCATACCTTGCACCTCCGTTCCGTCCCTCATATCAATCTTATGGTCACCTAAATGAGTTCGATCTATTTCACACTTATCGGACATGGGGTAAAGTTGAGTCCGTTCCCTATGGTAATGTTGACTACAAATTTCTGTTACTAGAAACAGTTTAAAAATGACTAGTATAAATCCGGAATCCATATTCTCTGCACACGCACTGAAATGTTCTATTTATAGTTTTTTATTGTTAAAATAAAATAATTGCTCTAACTATCCCTTTATATTGGTTTGAAATACCTTTTAAATCCAGTAAGTGTTTGATCTGATACGTTCCGTAGATAATAGGTATTTTTAAAACCACTTTGAAATAATTAGATTCTTGAACATATTTCAAATTAGAAACAGTTGCATACCTAAAATAGCCCGATTAAAACCACCGATTTTCAATTAAAAGAATTATACCCAACCGTATTTCCCTTCAACTTTGTAAATAAATACAACTGTTAATTGTCAATTGCTGCCAGCTATCACTTTTTAAACTTATAATCGAGACATTGATAAATCCATATATGTCATAATGTCCTATTTATGTGTTACAAATTTGAAATTTAAAGATAAACACACTTTCAACATGACGACACGTGAAATAACTGATTAAGACAAGATCTCCCGAGCAAGCGATTTATTTAAAACATCCACCCACTCATGTCCACTGATAGTGCATTAAAGAAGGTTGTATCCTTTATTATAAATATAATAAACTATTTTCTACTGCTCGCGTTTTCTTATTAATAAATATTCGTAAGGAAATGAGCCTTAATTTGTCACGCAATAATGGCTCATTACCTAGCGATCTAAATAGAAAATCTTCATTCCTGGGAAGTGAAAATAGCAATCTCTCTATATATCTTATCACTCTATCGTGAACAGTATAAAAGCTTGTGTACTTCCCTTACCCATGCTAATGTTATTACATCAATTCTTGTCTTATCATATTTCACGTTCGTTTCCTTCACATAACTCAAAACATTCTGGTCACTAAACCCTCTGCAAATCCGATTGAAGGATTACCAATAACAACTTTACTATTTTTATTTTGTTTACTTCCCTTAACTCGTATGGCGAAAATAAATGTATATGTAAGTATACTTAACAATTTTAGAGACACTTTCACATTGCCAATAATGATATCCTACACAATATGTTTGAATGCAATCTCTTTTTGATTCACAGTCCATATGCTATTCCTATCCGTTTTTCAAACTGCTGCATAAAAAATACAGTCAGTCAAATAATTGCTTAAGCAGTGGTAGCGCAAATTATACCCTACTGAGCAGTTAGTGCAACTAATTTAGAGTATATGAATTGTGCTACACACCACTATTGTTATTGATTGATGTTTGAAGAGTTTAACAAATTCTTAGCGAATTGTTTCTTTTATTTGACATGCTTAGTACGCCTTTTGTGTAAATTATTAATTCCGTACTCTCTGCCTGTCACTGGGTATAACTTAATTAATTAGAACAAACTTCTGTGTAAGAAGCAATTAATAGTATTGTCATTTAATAGCTAATTCTTAGAAGTAAATCCGTCAATAGTAACTCCCACAATTCCGTGTCATTATGTAAGAATCTCAATCTGTCATATATGCACTATCCAATGTTTTATATCTAATTAAAAGATAATTATAATGTCATTTTAGTAACAATAATCCCGTGGCACTAAAATAGATTTTTAGAGAGAAAAAATAGCAATTTCCTACAGAGTCTACAACTGTTACGTTTGAAGTGCGGAATTTCCCGAATGTTTGATACTTGGAAACAATTGTTGACGCTTAAGCGATCACACATGTGTTGGCGTTACATACGCACTCCTATTATCGCCATTTGTACAATCAAAACATAGCAATTCGTTCTATCGTGCTTAAGAGTATGTTTAAGTTTTTGTAAGTATGTTGCGCGCGGTTCTTCAGACATAAAACAATAAACGAATCCGCCTGGAAAATACTGGGAAATTACAAAACTCTCTCAATTTAATATGATTTCATTAACATGTGTGATTGAAGTGAAGAATGTGGATGCCAAATGATGTTGTCAATACTGACAAGAATAAACATTGACCTTGATTTGTATAATGATTGCTTATTTCTCTCCTAATTCCAGTGAAAGTTAGGTTTTAAGAAGACTCGTATAAACAAATTAAAATGATTACATCAGTGTTACTGAATATCTTTTTTTTTTGCATTTTACAGATTTGATTTATAGCATCTTTTGAAATTTACAGGCATCCTAAAACACTTAGTACGTGCGTATAGGAATTAAAAGAACTGATTGATTTGCCCAGACTGCATTAAAGAGTTGATTTTAGTAACACTTTTATGTCCTGCACATATGTGAATATATACGACAAAATTAAGATTAGAAAATTTAAATTTTCAAACATGATCAAACTTCAGCAAACAAAACATTTTCGATTTTCGAAAGTTGAAACATTCTTGCAATCCAGGTTACAGCTGAATGTTTTATGCAATACAGAGGGAAAAAACAGCCAGTTGTTTGTAAGAGAAGGTCCACTTGTATTGACCAGTAGTATGAAATACAGCTTCCCGTATCCAATTGGACATATACAGTAAATATTGAATAAGTTTCAATACACGTTTGAAATATTTTACCGAACGATGGATAATGTGAATGACATCACTTCATTATTTCATTTAAACAACACACGCTGCACTTTCATTTAAGCCCAAGACAAAATACAAAACAAATAATTCTTAAGTTTCTCGAGAAACAAAAACTTTGTCTATGGCAATTTGTAATTTGTCATGCGACTTTTTTAAAAACACACTTTAGGTTTCCGTATTATTAGGAAAGCACTATTTGTGTACCGTTTTGGTATCTCGAGAAGCATATAATTAAGTTAAGGGAGTAATTTGCGAATGTCCGATAAGAGAAGTCATCAACCAATTTGTTTACACAGGCCTGTAATCACGTGACAGAATGTGACGTTTGTAGTTGTGACACTAATGTGACATTTCTGTCGATGATTTTCCCCTCGTTGTCTTGGTTTTTTCAACAAGCCATAAAGTACTACTGTGTGTAAAATGCATATATTTAAAGTTAAATGGTGAAAAGTTATTCCTCGAAAGCATTAAAACAGCAAAATTACACTCACTTTGATTGAGTCTATACCTGAGGGATAATGAACAAGTGAAATATCCCTCAAGCACCCTAGCACCGGCTTGAGCGATATTCAATTGTCAACACTTAAAACTGCTGGACTCAATGATCCCCAAGGACCAGAAAAATATAACAACACTGAAGTACGGGGCACACATCACTTGATAACTATTAATACCATAAAATGTATACGTGATGCGGCTAACAAGGTGGTTTAAGCGTCGTGCTTTTTGGTTCCAACCTAATCCCAAATCAGGGGCAAGTTATTGTTTCACTGAGCAAGAAACTTAATTATAATTGCTTAGTACTGTTTGGTTTGAAAGTGTTTCAATAAGCTTTTACTTTTAAACACAATCGATCTAATCTGTTTTAACTGAAAATGGCCGTTAAAGATAAGTATAAAAGGAGAAATCATATGTACATGCTGTATTTTGATGAACATATGTATCCAATGCCAATATATTTACGTTTTTAAATGAACTTGAATTTCGATTATTGGATCGTCACAATGCAGAAGATACATGTAGTTCAAGCAGACCTAAATCTTTCCAATGTTCTCAATCTTCTTAAACATAAACCCAACATCATTTCACCAAAGAGCAGCGATTTTTTTTAAATAGCCTTAAAATGTTTGTAATAAAATAATAAAAGGGTTATTAACATTTTGAAATATGTGCAAATTTGTATACTTTAAGAAAATCCAAGACGTATATTCCATATAGAGACACACACACGCCTATATATGGAAGGAAATGCCTCAATAATAGCACAATAGCTGAAATGGTTGCTAATAAAAATAAGTTTTATCCAATTATGACAGTTGATTATTTCTGTAAAATAGCGTCTGAAGAATGGACAGACTTATTGATCTTTGACTGATGAATGCCCTGGGATACACCGAGATGTAGTATTATAAAGTATACAGTAATGTTTGTATAGTTTCATAAGTAATGAGAACATAAAACGTAAATCAAACCTACAGTGACATTCATAAGATATGCGTTAATTATATCAGTTTATATCTGAATGAAAATATTACTCTTAAAGATCATTCGCTCACTTCGTTTTTTCCAGAATAATCATTTAAATTGTAAAAAAATGACCCCAAATGAAAAGCGTTTAAACGTTTTTCACTCAAATCGGGTTAAGAAAAAAAAAATAAAAATACGATTTTCAATTTATTTCAAAGTTTATTTCCTACATTTCTGTATAAAGTGCCCAAGCTCATTCATGTAAGAAATTTAAATGTTATGTTTTAAGGCTTTTAAACCTTAGTGGATTCCCTTTAATAACTCCAAGAAGATGCGTTATGCTATGTGTATTTTCAAAGTATTTTTTAAGTTTTTCCCTTTTCATCAAAGTCCTAGATACAGCTCTAAGTAATCTTACAAATGATAATTCTTGCATTATTTTTTGCATTTCCTTGTAACATTTGAATGTTCTAATCAATTTAAAAACAAAAAACTGCACCGTAATTATGTTATTACCAAAGTGTTTGAAAATGTAAACGTTTATATTAGAATGCAAAAATGCATGTTTAATTAAAATTTGCCAACGTCTGTTATAATCTAATGACATTTGTAACAATGCCATTACTGTATTTCCTCAACAAAAAATCGTCATAATTATGGTCGTTCATAAAAAAAGACATCAAATCAATTTTAGTAACTGTAAATGTAATGTTCGAATGTACGGAATTTTATGGCATATTTTTCTGATATGTCTTGTTGTTAGCCATTGCTATGAAGATATATTCCTTTTATTTATAAATATAGATATATATCTGTTTTGAATTCACAACTATAACCCTGCCATCGGATGATAATGACACACTAAAAATACAATTTTTCAAGTAAGAAGAATGTATCTAAATTGTTTCTACATTACCGTTAATGTCATAGTTATACATCGAGTCGAAAAAACAGAAGAATTGCCGTGTATTTATATAATCTAGAAGTATTGCCGTGTATTTATGTAATATATATCAAGTGGTATCATCTTGAAGAATTAAACAATATAATTAATATAACAATGTTTGATATAAAAAGAAGCAAAGCTATAAAACATCACTTCATTGTGATAAAGTACACTTAATTGATAATTTGAATTATTACAATTAACAGTTTATACATATTTTTAGATTTCCACTTCAAAGGCTGTAGATCTAAAAGCCTTTTTATAAATGACAGTTTTATTATCTCTCCAAACAGGGACTCTTTGATGATAAGTAACAAACGGTTTTCAAAAGATAAAAAAAATATTTAATGTTTTACAAATTTTGTAAACAAATTTATTTATGATGTACCATGATATTGTGTTAAATTGTACTATACAATTTTGTGTGAAATGACTATGTACTGAATGTATACGTCAATAAATTATCTATCTATCATTTATCTATTTAATTTTTTTTAAGATAACATGACTTCAAATGAATCATATTTTAAGTACAGTTTGTGATAGAGTTCTGTTGTGACAAAATGTTGCGTTGAATGAATTAAACTAGTCTACAAGTTCATTTTAAAATTATCAGATGTAAAATAAATACAAAGTTTGTTGTTGATGACTAGATAAGCCATACAACTTGTGGATCCAATAACGCTGCGTTCCATTATTCTATTTAAAGGGAAATAACAAGTACGAATCTAACTATGACTAGGACGGTGATGTCTGATAACACGAATTACATATTTACTACTTTTATGCATTTTCACAATGCATGGAGAGTAAGAATCAAACCATTAGGAATGCCACAAACACGATACTGTTTAAGAACTGGACTTCGCATAGCAAAGAAACAGACAAAACACATTTGTGTACATAAATTGATAAGCTTGAAACATGTAACATACTTAATACGTTCCCTAATTCAAATGATTGTATAGAGATGGGACATTCGTTTACAAAATCTCTACTTTTGTTTTTTGTTCCTGGCAGTGGCTAAAATAAAAAAGAAATAGAATTTTTTTAATATACAAATTGATGATGCACAATTAATTATGTAAAACAATTGTATTTTATCTGTTGTCATATAATCAATTTGTTGATATTTGAATCAGAAACCCGAAAACAAGAGCGTTAAGACTATGTAGTATGGAAGAAGAAACAAGTAAATTTTTTAGTAAGCTTTAAATCATTTAAAATCATTAACATTTAATACAGTTTTAACCGTTGTTGAAAATTAGGACCCATCATCAAAGGCAGACATGTATTTTTGTATTTATTTTGACAATAGGGGCCTCGCCATTTAATTTCAATTCAGCCTTTTATCTAAGTGGAAAGCTAACCAGTACATAATGAACATACACATATATATTTGAACTGTTTGCAAAATAATGATAATCAGTAAATCACGCGGTGTTCCCTATTGAACGGAGAAGGGTGTAAACATGAAATAAAATCACTGCTGACGATCTATCTTAGACAAGTCACGTATCCATTAAAAGTGCGACGCGCCGAAAATATGTACGGAAACAAATCAAGCTCAATGTAGCTTGATACCAGGTACAGCAGCATTTATTTGTTGATGTCTCGTGCTAGAATCTCATGATATAATTCCTTGCATCCGAACTCCAAACAGTGCTTTTATCACTGCATGGGGTATATTATTTCGATTCTAACATGACATT